TTCCCCCTTACTGGCTGTGTGACCCTAGGCAAGTCACTTAACCCCATTGCCTAGCAAAAAACAACAACAAAAAGTGAGTCAAGGGATGGCCCCTTCAATTAAAAAAATATCAAAGGTGAAGACCTTCAAGGTTGTTGGCCAAAAGAGAAACAGTTACTATCTATATTCACTTTGAGCCAGAAGGGCCTGATAAGATCTAGAGCTTTAGGAGTACTGGGACCCCAAGATCACAATATGTGGGTCCTGCCTGAAAGAATTCAACCCAAGCCTTCTTTCAGCCAGAGACAAAGCTTATTAAAGATCTTCCATATTAGCAGAGGAATCTGAGGAATCTGAGAGTCTGTGAGATATTGGCTAGATTCTAAGAATCTGAGCACCTTAATGGAGACAAGATGGACTTGTCCATACAGAAAGACTGGGAGGAATCTAGGAGTGGCCAAGTAGTTTAGGTGACTGGAGGAGGGGTCTAAGGAAGATCTGAATGGGAGTGGCCAGTAAACTGAAGTGAACAGAAAGCCTGGGATCTGGACCTCAGGGCCAAGGGAGAATGGAGCCTAGCTAGGATTAAGGGTGGGAAATGGCCAGGGGCCACAGGGAGGGTAACAGAATTGGAGATTGGGCTGTAGCCACAATGAAAGGCCACTTGATGGGATTATAGCCTCAGGCAAACTCCAGAGATTGGGCCATGTGGGAAAGTCCAGGTTTTCCTTTCTGGGGTCTAGATCCCAAACCCTTCATTCCCCCCTCAAACAAATGGGACCCAAATTCTTTCGGAGTAAGGGGCGAAGGTCTCCGCTTTTGAAACTGCTTCCTGCTGGCAAGGGGCATAGAGGTGTCCCTGGCTTGAGGGGGTCCCAAAGAGGAGGCTGACTGGAACCGAGCACAGGCTGCATCCAGGGAACATTATGGGACACTGGTTGGTGCTCCCTGTTTGCTACCAACTGTGTGTGAATGGCCTATAGTCTGGAAAACACAAATCTGACAGAAAAGACTGCAGGGCTCAGATATAAAACAGGGACTAGAGATTTAGGGCCCAACTTTTGAGAGGATAAAACATCCTTAGCTCTGTTTGGATTCAGATAATTCAGTTTTCCAACCACGCAGTATCAAATCCACCTCATAGCCAGACTCAGGGATAGCCAGGTGGGTAATATTCCCTTTCAAAGGAACATAATGGGGAAACCGAGCCAGGAGGATCCCATCTTAGACTCAGGCTAAAATTGTCCTCTCAGCTTTTCCCAATGCTGACTTCTCACCAGTATCACCTTTTCTAAGTAGCTTGTGGCATTTCTCTCAGAAGGTGGATTATTGATTATTGATGGATTATGACCTATCAGACAACTCAAAATCCTATGAGCTTTTACCTCAAACAGCAAGTTTTACTAATCACAGCTTAGGAAAAACTTTTCCAGGATTTACATCTCAAATTTAAATTTGTCCTGGTATAAAAAGCCAATCATTGGTGATTTCTATATAACTGCAAATTCTTAGCAAGACAAAACCCAGACAGGCTTTTTGGCAAGTTTTACACATTAAAACAATAACAAACAATAGCCAAATTATTTTAGCAGCAACCACATTATGAAAAGTTGCTTGACGTAATTGATACAAGTTCACCAATTTGGAACTTGAAACAAATCCATTACCAATTGGGTGACATCAGTTTTGTTAAATGCACTTCCAAATTACTTTACACACAGAATCAGCATCTTATCATTAACAGTTAAAACTACAAGTTAAAAGAGCATGCTTACCCAAGTTCAGAGACCAGCTTCTTTACCTTGAGCAGGATGTGCTGAACCTGGGTGATGCTTCCAGGGAAAGGTGGCCCCAGAGCCCAAGGCCATTGCCAGGGAGGCCCACCTGTAGCTGCTGCCCCTCCCCCCCTCCTTTCCCAGGTCGGGGAGGATGAAATCAAAGGTTAAAGGGTGACAGGTGTTTCAAAACTCCTTAATGAGCAATCACAAAACCTCCAGAATCTGCCAAGATATTTTTAGTTTTCTAACTTTCCCTGCAACCTCCATGAAGGAGGATTCAGTGGTACAGAGGGAAGGGAGTAAGTAAGCCTCAGGGAACCAAAAAGCAACTGCAGTTTTCTTCAATTCCCTAGCACCAAGGGAATTAACAAAATTGAACATACACTTCCAGATAGGGCATCTGTCCTTGTCCTCTATGCTGTGGAAGGTGTACCTAGGTCCATGGCCTTCAACCCACCCATGGACAGAGAGCCTGAGAGGTCAGGCTGAGTGAGAGGCCAAGCCATGGTGCTTGGAGAGCAAACCCTAACTGCAGAGCATGACAGGAGGGAGAGGAGGCTTTCATACCTTCCAGTCTTGGCTGGAGAAGAACTTGGGGTTAGGCAGTTTCCTCATACGGGCCACCAAAATGATGCGGTTTAGGGGTTCAGAGTGCTGGGACCCCAAAACCACAATACCCGGATCCTGCCTCAAAGAATTCAACCCAAGCCTTCTTTCAGCCAAAGACAAGGTTTATTAGAACATCCATCATATTGGGTAGACTCTTAAGGAGTCTGAACATGGGTAAGCAGTGGTTAGATTTTAGGAATCTGAGCATCTTAATGGACACAAGATGGACCTTATATAAGGAAAGCCTGAGGAAGGGATCTAGGAGTGGCCAAGTAGTTTGGGGTGACTAGAGGAGGGGCCTAAGGACATCTGGATGGGAGTGGCCAGTAAACTGAGGTGAACAGAACTCTTAGGATCTGGACAATGGAGCCTAGCTAGGATTAAGTGTGGGAAATGGCCAGGGGCCATAGAGAGGTAAGATAAAAGAGGAGAGATTGGGTGTAGCCACAATGAAAGGCCAGTTGATGGGATTATAGCCTCAGGAGAATGCCAGAGATTTGGCCATGTGGGAAAGTCCAGGGTTTGTCCTTTCTGGGGTCTAGATCCCAACCCCACATCATCTCCCTGATGTCATGGTCCTCTTAGAGAAGGAAGGACAAACCACATCATACCTATCAGACTGGCTAACATAAAAACAGGAAAAAGATAAAAATTAGAGAAGATGTGGGAAAATTGGAACACTAATGCATTGTTGGTGGAGTTGTGAACTGATCCAACTGATGGGGTTAGGATCCATTTCCCACACTTAATCCTAGCTAGGCTCCATTGTCCAGGTCCCAGGAGTCCTGTTCACCCCAGTTAACTGGCCACTCCCATTCAGATCTTCCTTAGACCCCTCCTCCAGTCACCCCAAACTACTTGGCCACTCCTAGATCCCTCCCACAGGCTTTCTGTATATAAGGTCTATCTTGTCTCCATTAAGATGCTGGGATTCTTATAATCTAGCCATTGCTCAGATTCTTAGAATCTAGCCAATACTTATAGACTCCTAGATTCCTTAAGAGTCTGGCAACATGGTGGATCTTCAATAAACCTTGTTTTTGGCTGAAAGAAAGCTTGGGTCCAATTCTTTCAGGCAGGATCCACATGTCATGATTTTGGGGTTCCAGCACCCCTAACCTCTAGACCTCATCGCAACCATTCTGGACAGTAGTTTGGAACCATGCCCAAAAAGCTATAAAACTGTGCATACCCTTTGATCTAGCAATACCACTACTAGGTCTGTATCCCAAAGAGGTCATAAAAAAGCAGAAAAGGACCCACATGTACAAGAATATTTATAGCAGTTCTTTTTGTGGCAAAGAATTGGAAACTGAAGGGATGTTGAACAAGCTGTGGTATATGAATGTAATGGAATTCTACTGTTCCATAAGAAATGATGAGCAGGCAGATTTCAGAAAAACCTGGAAAGACTTTCATGAACTGATGCTGAGTGAGGTGAGCAAAATCAGGAGAACATTGTACACATTAACAGTAACATTGTACAATGACTGACCTTGGTAGACTTAGCTCTTCTCAGCAATACAATGATCTAACAATTCCAAAAGACTCCAGATGGATTATGCTATCCACATCCAGAGAAGGAACTATGGAGGGAGAGGGAAACTTAAGGGAGGGAGGGGGAAAATTTAGAACTCAAAATCTTATAAACATGAATGTTGAAAACTAAAAATAAATAAATAGGCAAACAAAACAACACCCCCCCCCCGAAAAAAGGGGAAGAGACTTGGTATAAATTTGCTAAGGCCAGTAACAACTGGGATGTATTCCCCAAGTTCCTCACCCTGCCCCCCATTCCTTGAATAATGGCCTCTGCCTGAGAAGAAAAAAGAGGGACAATATCTTTAGGTAATCTAATAGACAAGCTGGATATTAAAGATGAGGAATTTAGTCACATGGCTATTAAGTTGATATCATTATATACTATGGGTAATTATTCATTAGTCCATTTTCCTTAATAATAATAAAAAAGCTTTCTTACTAAACATTACAGCCTAGCTAAACCTGAAGCGTGATGAGATAGGAAAATGACAAAGTGGAGCATCAAAAGAATATTGTACTACCTTTCAGGAGACTCTAGAATGACCTGTGAGTTTGGACAAGTCACTTCTCTAGTTCTAAGTATTCTCACTTGGAAAATGAGGATAAGGATATTTTCATTTTAGTATGGACATTTACAAGCTAGAGGGTATTCTCACTGCCTGTTTCTAGGCACGTAGGTCAGGTCACATCAACATTGGTTGAAGGAACCAGGGACGTTTTGTCTGGAAAAGAAAAGGTTTACTGGGATAAGTGGTAGCTACCTTCAGGTGAAAGAAGGTGCTGTTTGGACTACAAGTAGGGGCAAAAGACAAAGACTATGAAGAGCAAGGAAATTCTTTCAGATCTAAATGACGCACTACACACCTAAGAGAGTCTGAAGCTTGAATATACCTCAACTGCATATGAAAAGGTCAACTGAAACAATGAATTGATTCCTCCATACTACAAATGACCCCAACAGAAATCTGGAAAATGTAACTGGCAGACTGCCATAAATAAGTTGAATAAATGGACAAATGAATAAAGCATTTATTAAATACTTACTATGTGCAAAGCACTGGGCACACAAATAGAAAAGGAAGCTAGCCCCTGCTCTCAGAGAACTCTATTCTAATAGGGGAGAAAACACATATGGAAGGTTTCAGCTGCAAGTCCCATTTAAAAGTCCCACGGTCCTTACAAAACAATGGTAAAGCAGATCACAGTGCCCCCCTTTTAATATCATTTCCAGTGATAAAAATCATATCAATTTCTGACATTGAACCATTGAGCAGTATCAAGGACTTCCTTTTTTTCCATCTTTAAAAGATGTGGCTATAGCACCTACATAAGCAGTTGCCAGGCTGCACCTCTAAAAGAAATGCCTGTTAGGATGATGGCATTTGGATACTGCTGGAAGAGTTACTATTTCCTAGGTTCTTGGTTTAGGGTCCTGGGTTTCTTTCCATCAGGGGTCCGAGGACATAGGACAGAGTCAAATTTGACTTGCCTAGCACATGCTTGTCTCCTATCTCTTCCTCAGGATGCTCATGTCCTGCTGCTTCTTGAGTCTGGCTTGCCTGTCCTGTGTGTGGAAGCTGGTTGGCAGTTGGTGGAGATGACTGGTCCCTTCTTCACAGGAGCCACCTCACTAAAGGATGACTGTGAGGCCTAGGTTGGGGTGGGGGTGTTGCCATTCCTGAGCCTATCTGCCAGACGCTGTCGGTAACAAGGAAAGGTGGACCTCTTTTCCATAATGATTCATCCCCTTGAGATGGCTATTGGGGTTGGGCAGTATGTAGGTCCAGTGGGCTTGGGGTACACAGTATACTGGAGTACACTGCTATTTGCTAGGTTCTTGGGTTTAGGATCCTGGGCTCCGTCAGTCTTGCTTAAGTATATAAAAATGTTGAAAGTTATATTAGTAAGTACTATTTTAAACTATTTCAACTTATAGTAACCTATTTCCTAAAGTCAAATTAATAAATACAGTAAGAGGTTAATTTATTAGAATCCACATTATTATTAACGTCCAATACAAAAGAGAGTGAAACGCTTTGGCATGAATTCTAAGCACTCTGAGTTTGCTCAGACACATGCCCATTTTCTACTACTTTGATAATGACTGCCATTATAGCTCTGCTGGAAGCCTGCACTAGCAAAACTGGCCTTGTAACATTTCTGCTTCACTCTGCAAATCTTTTAAAAGCCACATTGGTCAGATTTCTAATGCATTCTGAGTCTGGAATAATGCAGCATGCATCATGATCAGTCCTCTGGTGCCCCACTGGCCTGGAGCTAAGTTTAGAAGTTGGACTGTCTGGAACTAAATGTAGCCTTCTCCTCCTGCAGCTGGAGCTCCCCATTCCAGGTGCCATGGGAAGCTAACAGTATGCTAAGGGTAGAGGTCAGTCAGTCCAGTGAAAGCAAAATTATCTTCGACTTCAATGTTTTGAAGGAAAGGGATTTTTCGAAGAGAATCAAATGAGGGGGCTAGAAGTAAAAGCAAAGGAAGAGAAAGAAGTCTAAAAAATCTGGAAAATACTAAATGTCCTTTGTCAGGAAAAGGCTGAAGGGAAAAAAGAATTGTTCTTCGGGATGAATAAAAAACTTTTGCAAAGATAGGCAGTTTACATTGTTAATTCCTTAAAGGCTGGGACTGTCTTTTGCCTTTTTGTATCCCCAGCTCTTAGCACAGTGCCTGACCCACAGTAGGCACTTAATACATGTTTATTGATTGAGCAGTAACAGCAGCAGCAAGACCAATGTAAGAGTGAAGAAGAAAGAAATCTTAGATATTTATTTCCTCATTAATAGGAAAATAATGACTATTTTCTTCTAGTATTCTAAAATAGTGGAGGATACTTGTGCCAGTAGAAGGGAATCATATCTTATTACCCTACGGTATTTAATTTGGCCTCAGTCAAAACTTTTAGTATTCCATAAGATAATTTTGCTTAACTGTTTCCTGGAATTGTATTGGAGAAGAGAGGGAGGGAGTGGAGGATGGTTTGTTAGGAAGCTACTGTTAAGTCAAAATAAAATGTATCAAACCCCCCCCCCCACAACTCCAAACAAACAGACCTCTAAGTGGTAACAAAAGTTACCACAGTACCCTCTTCCCCAAGCTATTTGAAAATCCATTTTTCAATCCAAACCCTCCCCCTCATCTGTAACAATAGCACAAGATGGTGAATCCAGTGAAATCCAAGCCTTTAAAATTATAAGTAGAGATCACTTAAAAATTCAATTCAATAAATAGTTATTAAGTACCTGTCTATTATAGAATTCGGTTGGGTCTGGCATCTGAGGATGAGGGTTGAAGACTCAGTTTTGCCATTTACTCCTTTGGGTGAGTCTCTTCACTTCCGGGCCTCAGTTTCTTCATCTTCAAAACGTGTGGGTTGGAGCAGACCTTCCCAGCCTTCAATCTGTGATCCATTGACATACAGTGGATTTTAGAAAAATTAAGGGCAATAGTCATTTATTTTCCTATTAAGAGGGTGGATGAGTGGGAAATTCAGCATTAAGATGCCGGCCCTTGAAGCCCTTGTGAAAGTTTAATAAGGGAGTTATACCACATTGGCTAACAACACAACATAATTCATGCTACCTTACTAAGAGGCAAAAGAGAACTGTTTCCTGAGCTTAAGAAGGGTTGGTAGGTAACTCTTGGGAGAAACATCATCTTGGAGAACTATAATATTTTTAGAAGGGTCTGTGTGTCGTTGCCTGATAGGTTTGTAGAAAAATCTAAAGTTCTGCTAAACTATTAGTATTCTGTGAATTTCATTCATGTTGGGAATCTGGGGATTTGACATTGGGACTGAATTGAAGACATGCCAAAGGGCTGAGAACTGAGGCCCATTTGATGGTGTGTAAACCACAAGACCCTTGGATCAAAACTGGTCCAGGCACAGAGGCAGAGGATTGCGTAACAAAGTAAAGAAACCAAACCACACGCAAACCAACAACAAAAAAACCCAACTTCCGTGTACTGGCCTCACACTGGCTGTTCCCGCACCGTGACCCACAAAAAACATTTCGGCTCCCTTCTGGACCACAAGGGGGCTCTGCTAGAAGCCCTTAATCTCTGACGTTAGACGGTCAGCTGGGAAACGGATATTTTTTGGGGGCGTTTTATTCGTTTCCCTTTCTGTAGCCTCATTTTTTTTTGTAGCGGTTATGGTTACATCTTGTCCTATTTGGCACATTGTGTAACACCACATTCATAATACTGTGTATCTGTCTGGGTTCTTTGGAGATAAACCCAAAGAAGACGAGGTTACTGGAGTGTAGATAAACTTCTGGCTATCCGACTCCCCCTGCCAGCCCCAGCCTCTCTAATCTTTCCAAAGCCAGGTTCATACCCGAAGTGAGTTAACACTTCTTCCCACCCTGGCCTCGAATCTTCCGTAGCTCTTGCCTGGGGAGCTGCAGCCTCCTTCCCGGCTTTCTGTGGCTGCTTCGTAAACTCTCTCCCAACTTAATACCCCTAGCCCATCTTCCCGCTCCCAGCCTGGGTCCTTGCGCCTGCTTAGCACCCAGTCCATGGCGAGCCCCTCCTGAGCCAGAGAATCCCGCAAAGCGTAGTTCACAGGCGCCCAGCGAGGGGAGCCGCCGCCTCGACCTGGACTTCCAGGCCGCTCCGAGCTTTGTTTCGCGGCTTATCGGCTGTTCCGCAGACTGGCTGGCCCGGGCCGTTTAGGGGCTTTGCGGCAGCACTCCCTTAGCGCCTCGTCAGCACTCTTTTGTGATGGGTGGTGGGGGTGGCAGTAGAGAGGAGAACGTAATTCCCTGTTAAGGCTCTCCCGATTTTATCCTCAAAAAAAAAAAATGACGGCCGCGATTTTGGGGTGGGCCCCACCGAAGGAAAGGTTTGAGATCTGCGGTGGTTCTTTTTCTCTCTCCTTTGGAAAGCCTCTCCGTGTCTCTTCCCCTCCTCCCAGGCCCCCCAACCCCATCCCCGCCCAGCTGGTTGCAGGGAATGTGTCGGGATGGACTGAGAAGTATTTGGGGGGAAGGGGGTCCTCACGGTGCACTGATCCGGGGCGCGCCTGTTTCCCTTCAGCGGGGTCGCTGCCTCGAAGTACCCAGCAAGGGCCAGGAGTCGGCAAGGAGCTTAGGAGCTAGCCTAAGAGCCAGCGGAAGGGTTTAAAAGAGAGGGGCGAGGCCTGAATGATCTCAACCTAGGGACCCCGCCAGGTGATCCCCCTCCGCCAGTTCGAGGGAGAGGGGAGGGTGAATGGGCGGTGCACGCGCGCGCCACGGAAGCCCGGGACCACCCCACGCACGCGGCGGAGCACAAGCCTAAACTCGCGGCCGGCAGGCGGGCTCGAGGCTCAGAAGCTTCCTGGGGGCTTACAACGAGAGCCGCTGCGCCGCCCGCCTGGGCGATCGCCATGCGCATGCGCGGCCCCAGCGCCATTTTGGTGGCCGGGCGCGGAGGTGAATCCACTGTGAGGAGAGAGTGGCGGTGGCGGCGCGGCTCCCCGGCTCTGCTCTGAATCGCTGAGGGAGGAGGCGGCGGCGGAGGAGGTGGCGGCGGCGGCGGCGGTCGTGGCGGCGGCGGAGGCGGGGGGTGCGAAACGGCTGCGGGAGGCGACATGGCCAACATTGCAGTGCAGCGAATCAAGCGAGAGTTCAAGGAGGTGCTGAAGAGCGAGGAGGTCAGGAATGAACTCCTCGACCGTCCCCCGCCTCATCCCGAGGCCGAGCGGTCCCCTCCCGGGCACGACCTCCTCGACCCCCCGGCACCCCCAGGCGTTCCCCCTCCCCCCAGCGGCCCCCCGCATGCCCGGTCCCTTCCGCGCCTGGTCCTCTTCTCCTCCAGCCCTTCTCCACCCCCCGCCCCGGGCCCCTGTTTGGCGGTGTCACTGGCGGGAGGGCGGCGGAAGGCGAGGCTAGGTTTGGGGGGACAGCGTGGGGAAGGGGCTGTGCGGCTCGGCGAGTGCGAGCCCTGAGGCCGTGGCCGCTGCTGCAGGAAGTGTGGCTGCGGCGGCGCCGGGAGGGAGCAGGCCGAGGCCGAGAAACCTCGGGAAGTGGGTTGGGGGAAGGGGAAAGGTGGGAACAGAAACAGACTGGATGCAGGTCTGCCGAAGGCCTTGGTGGATGGGGGTTCGGGGAGGTCCTGTGCTGTGAGCTTTCTCCCATTTTTCCTTTGGGAAGATCCCTGGGCATTGAAAGAAGAAAGGAAGATATTTTGGGTGATTTCGTCTTAGATGTATTGGATGAAAGGTAGGCAGGAAAGGGACTGGACAACATGGTGGTTTAGTGTTCTAGTGGAGTGAAGAGATTTTTTTTTTCCGCTGAAATAAATGATTAATTCCAGGTCCCCCAGGAATGGACCCTTTCATTGACTCCGCAAGTGTTTTGTTTGAGGAAGGGCAGTTCTTGGTTGAATTTAATATTTTTAGCCAATGACAATGGTTGGTGAGAATAGATTACAGTACTATGTTTTTATATGATCTTTAAAGGTCGATAGATAATATCTCTTAAGACATTGCTTCGATGACTTAAGTTACATGTTAAACTTATGTCCCGTTTGGTTAACTTGTGTAATACCTTTGAAAAAGAGCATTTGAAAATATGAAAGTTCACCGACTGTCTTCTCCTGAACAAGAACGATAGGTGATTTAATTATCATTTTCTGTTCAAAGAATGATTAAAAATTTTCAGTTGGCCAAATTTTCTTTCTGTTTCTTCTAGATACACGCACAACCTGTTAGTGCTGCGTATATGTAACAGTCTGGTGATGTTATTATGGTTTGTCATGTAATTCAAACAATGCTGATCTCTCAAAATAGTTTTCCCACACTTAAGAGATATAGATAGTGCATTACTTATTATCATATAATTAAAGTATGGAATTGTTTAATTGAAAATTTATATATATCTTTCCTAAAATAGCAGAATATTTAATTTAATTACATGACGATCGTGATCTCTTTTAAATGTCTTGTTATTATGGTACTTTGATAATAAGGAGTGATACTTTTGAAATTTAGTGTTCTGTATAAATGAAGAGTAAATCATATCAGGTTGACATTAGACCTAAAAACTTATTAAGTCTACAGTGATCATATGAAAAAAAATGCCACATCTTTTAAAGTACACATAGTATCTTATGTTTTAGAAAAAAAATTACTTTACTAGCTACTTTATACAATTGGGATGTTTGTGTAGTGTTAGTATCCCAAATGAGTCTTTTCTACAGAGCATGTGTATGAACTTTGACCTGTATGTTTGTTCAAGTGCCAAAATGAATGGAAGAATGACTGTGTGTTTTTGCGGTACAGTGCAGAAACCACTGCGCTCTTCAGAATCCTAGGTGTCTGCACTGCTACAGACTTAGGTGATTCTAACTAATGAAGTAGAGGTGTTTCTGGGCCTGATCTGAGTAATAGTAAAAGGATAGGTTTTCTTTGTGTTAACACATCGGATTGCTATTCACCTATTTATTTGTTTTTGTTTGTTTATTTATTCATTCATGTATTCATTCATTTTTATTTATTTTTTTTGGATTGATATTTTAAAAATAGATTTTGTATAGCAAAGTTGTACAACACTTACTATGGATTTAATGCTTCCTTTTCCATTTCCTAGGTACTAAGTACGCCTTACCACTTCTAATATTGGTTTCTTTGACCCTTTTAAAGATGACTTACTTATCACCTTAGTATCTAAGGATTTGAATTCAGAGTTGCTAGAAATGCTTGTTTATGCATAACTGAATGAATACAACTATGTACTCGGTTTCCCGTGAGAGTTGTTTGGGAGTGGTAAAATTAGAAAGGGAAAACTCTCTTGGTGTGTCCAGAAGAAAAACCATAGATGGCTGGGTCAAGTTATCTTTTGGGAACTGCACTCCATCCATACACATCTGAAAGCAAGCATTCTCTTCTTTTTCCTCCTCCTAAGTCGGTAGAAAAGGACATTTATAGGGAAGGTTCTCACCATTTAATCTTAGATGAAAAGAGTTTCCATCATTTATTTTCATTTATTTTTAGTAGGTCAAGCTCTATAAAAGGATTCTAACACCAGTTATGCTTATTAGAGTAGGACTCCTAACTTAATCCATATATTTTGTTTCTCATGCTGACAATATTTTGAATGTCTGGTCAAGTTAATATTCTTTCACTGCTTTGGGTTTTGTTCTCTATTCAAAGTTTGTTGATATGAGTCTTTATATAATAAGAATATCAGCTGATATCAAAGGCATTTTGCATTTCAGGAGCCTTTGTAGTTGTAAAAGAACATGTTTATAGTAAGATTTCTTAACTTGTCTTGTGAAAGGATTGTCCAGATTTTTTTCTTCTGAGTTTGGAAATCTAATTGATATAGTCTTTTCAAAGTTTCTTATTTATTAAGGTTTCATCTGACTTTGATTCCTAGACCTATACTTAACACATCATTTCAAAAATGTTTTTAAAAGAAACAGTAACAAAATTAATGGAATGAGATAGTAAGGTAGGTCCTCTGTCAGCCCCGAGTTATCCATCAGAATTAACTATTTAGTTTTACTCTCATTGTTGATAGTAAGGCAGTCATAAAACCATAAATTTTTATTTTTTGCTGTTAATGTTTATTTTCAGTGACATTGATATGGAATTCATGGAATGATTAATGGGAAAAAGGTGACCTTTTTAGTGAGATATTTTCACCCTGGAATCCAAGACTTTGTGAACAGATTTTCTTCCAATGTAGATTCATTTTTAAAAAATTAAAGCTGTTGAAATATGAAAAGAGCTTTTGGTCTTCCCATAGAGTCTTTAAAGGATCATTTTGTTCAGTGTTTTGAATGTGAGCACTGATTTTGAAGAAATAAATGACACCTGTAATTAGTTTAAAAATATGTAGATGTAAAAAATTGCTTTTCATTTTGAGTGGCAATAATTTTGTATATTTTTAAACTTGCAGTTTAGTAGGTTAAGATGTTTTGTCTTTATCGAGTACATAAGCTTGGTTTTTGAACTTTATTTCATACTACATAGTGGCTAGTTTAATTAGTTGTATTTATTTTATATTTATATCTATACACATTTGGCATAGTTTATAGACTTGTATTGAAGGAAACTTAAATTTTTGGAATAAAATCAAATTTGTTAAAATGAAAGTTTGAATACATACTAATTACATTTGCCACATACCAGATTTTCATGCCATGTTGGTTTTTAAAGTGTTAGATGTTCCTGTTAAATTTTGAAGTTGATATTGATTGCTTCTCTTGAAGCTAGTTGTTGGATTTTGTTTTTAAAATATTTATTATACTTTCTTTGGAAGATCAGTGAGACTATTAACAGTGGGAACTGAAATAAACTTACAACTGAGGGACTCACATAGATATTTTCACACTTTTTATTGTCCACTCGCCTTAAATAAAAACAGACACTAGCCCAGATGTCTTAGTTTTCAAAACTCACTAAATTTCCTTTTCTGGTATGTTTTTCTTTTTATTTTAAACCAGAAGATAGAACTCTGCCTGAAAGACTTGTGACCATATTGTTTAATATAGTGAAAAAATATGCTTTTAAAGAAAAGTCAATGTCAAGCCATTGTTGTTAACCCATTTTTAGCTAGTTTCTTCACATATAGTGCTCAGTGAAGCTGTGTATATATGGTAAAAAGTAAGGCCTATTGATTTGCTTGAAAGTTGTACCATGGACCAGCAATGTTGTTTGGTATGTTTCTCTCATGGGTGTCCATCTCGTAAGGACACAGATGGACCTAATCCTGATCTGTTCTACCTCTGTGCACACAAAATCCCCACTTCCTACTGCTCCTGTAAACATGTCCTCTCACCATCAACATTTTTCAAACTTTAAATGGCTTCCCATTGCCTGCTGAACAAAGACAAAAATTCCATTTGACACCATTGACAGGCTCCAATCTACTTTTCTAGCATTATCTCGTGCTACTCTTTTAGGTAGTCTGTGCTTCAGTTAGACTGGATTACTGACTGTCTCCCAAATACATCTTGGGCTTTGCTCATATTCTTCCCTATTCCTGGAAAACATTCTGACCCTAAACTTATGGTGTCTTAACATTTTTTTTTTATTCCTTATAGATCTCTTTCTAATTTGTACTAGTAACCAGTAGGTGGCGTAGTGGTTAGAGTATTGGGCTTTGGGTCAGAAAGACATGGAATTCAAATCCTGACTAAAACACTTTACTAGTGTATGTGCCTGTGGACAAATCATTTAACTTTTCTTAACTTCAATTTCCTCATCTGTAAAAATGAGGCTAGTAATAATATCTGCTTCACAGAGTTGTTGTCTGGATCAAATGAAGAGAATATATTATTATCAGAAAAATATCCAAAGGACTAAAGTTGGACTTGACAGTGAGAAATACTTTTTTGTGATACTCCTGTCAGCGTCATTATTTTGGGTAACTTTTCATAACTTTACGGACTGAGACCACAGGGTACAGTGGTAAAAGAAATAGATTTGGAGTCAGAGGACCTGGGTTTAAATCTTGTCTCTGATCCTTATTACCTTTTTAATCTTGAGAAAGTCACGTCACTTCTCTAGACCTCAATTTTTTCATCTGTAAAATGAGGAAGTTGAATTGGATGATCTCTTACGATCATTAGATCAATAGATTTAG